TGGCATTAGAAATATCTAGAGACCAAACTAAAAAACTTATATATACAATTCAAAATCACAAAGCTTTCAAAGATATAGCTCTAAGATCTAATAATTTCCTCTTAGATATCATACTTAAAGGCTTTATTCCAATATCTTTAGTACAAACTACACAAAAGTTTAATATTTTCTACAAACTTGTATTTCAAACTATTGTCTAAATCCTACTCCAGATTAATAAACTTATCTATAAATAGATATAAGAACTACATTGTATTAACTTCTTAAACTAAAGAAGGCAAAACAATATCATACTACCTTATAACCAACTCAGACTCACTAAAATATACTTATAAACTATATATTTATTCATACTAATGTGGCTTACCAGATCAACTACATTTAAATAACTCTTGTTTACCACTTGAACAAACTATTAGCAAAATCAATATCTTTAATATTTTATAGATTAAATATAGTATATCTTCTAATTATATATTATCTATCACAATTTAGATGAGTTTCTAACCACTCTAATAGGTTTAGGTTACAGATAAAGTAGTCTGAGCTTTTATTCTTGCATATAGTTTTTACTTTTTATATTTTATATATTTAAAGATTAGTAACTTTCTGCAGTTACTATTTTAAAAACTATTAATAAAGATATGAGCAATGCCTCATCTTAATATCAAAAAAAATATATATATAATTGAGAATTATTGCTACATAAATAAATAAAAATAATTCTAAATTTAAACTTATGTTTAAAAAAGAGATTTATTACAATAGCATAATCAGATATAGTAGTAATATTATATATGTGATGATAAACTATTTGTTTAACATTATAGATATACTAGCTTTGAAGCTATTTGTACAGACTAATAATATAAGAAAACAAAGATTTTTAAAATTTTAAATTAGTGTTTATATTTACAATTTTGGTTTTAATAATACTTATTATTTTAAATTGTTGAAAAGACAGAAATCTTTCCAAAATTGTTACTTAAGGTTGATATTATATTTTTATTTATAGTATATTTTAGAGTTCTGTTAATAGTTTATTGAGATTGATTGTTCTAAAAAAAGTAGAAGAAGAAGAAATAGATGTACTTGATTGTGATTTTAATTTTATATATATTAAAAAAATACATATTACAAATTATATAACTTGTTATATAATATTTATAAAAAATTTGTATATTAAATTTCAATTATTATAAAATGCACCTATGGTAGTTTTGCAGAAGTTCTATAGAATAGGTGGGCAAACTCTGCAAACCCGCAACTCTGATATTAAAAAATTAATGATTACTAATTATTAGCAAAGCTTATTTCTTATATTGCCCACCTATTCTATAAAATATCTGGTTTTACACCTATTATATGTTTTTATTATGTTTTTTAAAATTTTTTAAGTTTTTATAAGTTTTGTATATAAAATTTTTAATATCAATTTTTTCACATTAAAGTTAATATTAAGATTAGAATTAGGATTTGGAAAGGGTTTTTGGAGGCGTAAAACATTTTTACTTAGAACACCTCACATCGATTAATTAGCCAGTTTTTGAGATAATAAGTAAAAGTGTAAAATTTTATGCTAAATGTTTTGCTTAGAAACAGAAAGGTGATTATTTTAGTAAAATTTTAAGATATTTCAATGTTCTGTTTCTTTTTGATTTTTTGAAGATATCTTATAATTTTACTAAAACAACCATTTTTTAATTTCTAAGTAAAAATGTTAAGCATGAAATTTTACTTAAAACACAAAATATTTTAGATTTTTTAATTTTTGGATTTTTGTTTTGTTTACATCTGTTTATTACACAAAAATTGATAATCTAATTGGTCAAGTTTGTTATGTGAAAAATAAGAACACTGCCCCTGCGGGATCTAGATTAATCCTTATAATTAAGTAAAGACAAAGAAAAACACCTTTCCGTTTCAATAAAATATAACACTCAGAGCTCGAAATCTTCTAAAGCCCTCCGTAGAAATATTTGGCTTCACTATGTAAAATCTGTAATAAAAATAGGAGTTAGTTACCAAATCCCGTGATTCTGTACTAAGAGACTCGTGACATAGTCTAGAACTCTAATTGACATTAGTTACTCGGACCAAGTATTTCCACGCCTCGAATGAAGCCTACCCTTATTAGAGTTTAGTTAGAGTAGTTTAGTTTGTATTAGAGCAGTGTTGTAGTGTATTTTTATATTAAGTGAGGATCCGCCTTTCACAACGTACGTACGCACTTCAATTTTTAATCGATCGTTTAAAAGTGACGTCTAACATTCATACTTTTCTTTCCCGAAATATTAATAATCCTCGACTAACGCTAAGTCGATCGATTTTATCGACCGAAATAGAAACAATAACTTTCCGAAATAGAAACAATGACTTTCCTGAAATAGAAAATCAATGACTTTCCCGAAATAGAATAAATGACAATCCGTATTACGTACGTACACATTTCAATGGGGTGTGCATTATCGTTATGTAAAAACAATATATGTGGTCATAATAACATTTATTAATGAAGATTTTTGGTAGATAATAATTTTTATAATAATGTAAATTTTAAATAGATGACAACCCTAACGGTTCAATAGTTTTGAATAAAATTTGCAAAAATCAGTGTTACTCTCTACAAACAATGTTACAGGGCATTTCATTTATTTAAACATGAAAAATGCATTAAGTTCTTAATTTAGTTCTAAAAATCTTCATTAATAAATTTTATTATATGGCCATATATATTTTTGATTCCCATAGTATACCGCACACTCCAATATTTCAAGTATTTATCTCCGCTAAATTTGGTAACCTTACAAACGAACGTAATTATTACAATAACATAAACCAACACATGCAACTAAAATAATAATATATCATGGATTATTATTCTGTTAACTCGTTAATCTTAGACATATAATTACAGCCATACTCCGTTCTCCGAATCTCCGAATCTGATAAGAAATTCTACCAGAACTTAATTCACACTTATGCATTGAGTGTTGCAAAATGAAAACCCGGGATTCTAAAAATAGATTATGAATTTTATGATGATAAGCATTCTGGGTTTCACTTGGCGACACTAATTTGGTATTTACGTTACGCATCGGAAATTTAATCCCGTGAAGTAAATGCTATTGTTCTATAGAGAAAATGATATAAAATGAGTATATTTTCCAACAATAGTCATTGTAGACCCGTTAACGAAGAAGAAAAAAAAAGTATATATACATATAGAAACTGTATCTTTGTCATATCTTTTGTTAAGGAGTTAGACACCATCTACCACTCAAGGAAATTACCAAGAAATTCGTTAACCATGTCAAATTCACGTAATATCGATCTTATTAACGCAGCTTTTTCGGCTGTAATGGGAACCCACAAGTTTATATCTGAGAAAGAATTTAAGGCTAGACAAACCCGTGGTGAAACTAATAATGCATTATATGAACAAGTTAACTTAAACTCGTTTCATCAAATCAATCTTGTCGGCAGTAATCTCAGTAACTTGGACACGAATATTGTCAATAACTTGAGCGCAGATTTTAACCGTCTATGTTCATTTAATCAATCTAATCCTCATCTAGGTCAAGTTTTTGTTAAGACGCTCACTGGTAAAACCGTAACACTAGAATGTGGAAAAAATGATACTATTGATACTATTAAGCTGAAAATTCAAGATAAGGAAGGCATTCCGCCTGATCAACAGAAATTAATTTTTGCTGGTAAGCAATTGGAGGATGGCAGAAATCTTTCTGACTACAATATTCAAAAAGAGAGTACATTACATCTGGTTTTACGTCTACGTGGAGGTGGTTGTATAATTAGTTATTTAAGTGTGAATGTGTTGGACCCGCGATATGACTGCGATTTTACAAATATTACTGATCTGGGTGTGACATTTATGAGGGGCAATATACTATATAAAAGACCGTGTGGATGGAAACGCATCGCTTTAAAAGTTACTGAAAAGTATGATAACGGTGATGATAAATGGCTCGGTACCGATGAAAATTCTTGGCCTGTATCATATCATGGTACTGCTAAACATAATGCAAAATCAATTGCTGAAGATGGTTATGATTTAAGCAAAGGAATTAGATTTGCCTATGGACATGGCATTTATTCAACACCTGACGTACATATAGCTGAACAATATGCGACTGAATTTGAATTTGATGGCAATACATATGTAATGATATTTCAGAACAGAGTAAATCCTGCTAGTTTAAAAAGAATTCCTGTTGGAAATGGTGAATATTGGGTTTCTGAAAAAGGTGAAGATGTCAGACCATATGGAATATGTATTAAAAGAAAGTAACAATCATTTTAGATTCGAAAATATATAGTAATACTGCCCTTTACGAGTATATAAATATAGTTATAGCATAAACAACGGATATTATACAAAGTTGTTATACAATTGATAATGAATTTTTTTATATTATTTTACAATACTTTTTGAAAGTCTCATGTGCCTTATCTTTCTAAAAAATGTAAAAAATTCTTTAAGAAATTAGAAGCTCACACTTTGCTTTATTCATTAACTGTAAGTTTTTCAGGCAAATATGCCTAAAAATTATTATAAATATACTTATGATCTATATTTTTAATTTTTAAATTATTTAAATAAATTTTTTTTAATATTTTTTGAAAATAAAAATAGTATTTAACTTTACTTTTATAATAAAAGAATTTTAAATTGCTTATAAAATAAAAATACACCAATTTAGATAAAAATTTTTGACCAAAATAATTATCTACTTATTTAGCAAACTTATTAAATATTAATTTTAATTCCATAGCCCTTAATACAATATTATAACTTATAATTTTATTATTATAACTTTTGCAACTTGTAAAAATTTATACTTGTATTAAAAGTTATAAAATTTAAAAAGCTTAATAGTAAAAATTTTAAACAAAACTTTAAATTTTTATTTTTCAAAAATTTACAAATAATTTTAAAATATTTTTTAAGTTTATAAAATATATTTTTAAAAGGTTTATATAATTTAGCGCAAGTGTGTTGTAACGCACCCACCTGATCGACCAATCAAATTGTAAGATCAGGTGTAATGTGAAATCGAAAAAATAGTGATGGTTTAAAAAAATCACTTGTAACTCATAATTTTGCTTATAAACCCACCTTTTGCATTCTAACAAAAAAAATTCCTTGCAAAATTTTGGATATAATTAGCATTACCTGCAATTAAACCTAATCCTAAATTAATGCTAACCCTTATTCTAAATTAATGTATTGATGGTTTGTTTTGATTTCACATTACACTAGATCTTATGGGATGCACAAAACACATCCGCACTAAAAAATAAAAATCTTTTAAAAATATATTAAATAAAAAAACTTCTATGCTACATTATTAATAAATTATTATATTATTTAAAAATATTAAATATAATGTAATTTTTAAGCAAATTTGTTTAGAATATAGTTTAAATGATCTTGGAAAAGTTAATTAACATTCTCTGGGAGGTTATATTTATATATTAAGTGAAGCTTTCTAATTAATATACAATCAGACCTCTCTAAGTATACTCTCTATAAGTATATATTCTTTCTAAATAAATATACAAATTTTGATCTAAATGTATATTTGACTTATAATATATTTTCGAGTAGTTTAAAAAATTGTAAACCTATTTATATCACATTTATATAATCTCTTAGTTTGTAAAAAAGATTAATATTATGGTTTGGACAAGTAAAAAGGTGAAGAGTATTTTCAAGGTTAGAGTATCGAGAACATGTTGATATATTATAGAGGTGAGGGTAGCAGATATTGAGGTTTTCTATAGTACTGTTATAGAACCGTTTATTATTTTATTAGATTAATATTCCGATATTGTATAATTATTATTGTTATTAT